TCTGCATCGCAGTAGCACCTCTTATTTCTATGAGGTTCTATTCAAGTATAGATAAATCTATACTTGATACAAACAACGCTGCTACCCATTGTTTGGTCCATTTTGGTCGCCTTTTACGACTGGCATGGACTACCGCAGGTGTATTCTAACCCCCACCCGCAGGGGAAAACATAATGATAGTAAGTATTAAAAGTAAAAAATCTAGCACAGTATAAATACAGTCCGAGTCAAAGTTCATGTCAAGCGTATACTGTGCTTGGTCCAGCTTATTTTTGTACTCGTATTGTGGCGATCCTCAGGGGTCTGTCATTGGACCGGTACTGTGGAACATATTCTATGACAGTCTTCTGAGACTCGACCTTCCTGTCTGAGTACAGCTGGTCGGTTTTGCGGACGATGTAATCGTGATTGGCACTGGTCGCACGACGGATCTGCTAGATATGGTGATAACATGGCGCTAGCCAAGGTAGGAGATTGGATGAAGGCGCATGGACTTAACATTTCTCACATAAAGACAGTGGCCATGGTGATGACAAACAAGAGAAGGAAACCAGACATTTTCCTTCAGAATGAACGGGTAGAACTTAGCAAGACAACCAAATAACTGGGTGTTGAGCTGAGCTCTAACCTGACTTTTTTTTGTAGTGGATGCTAATAAACGATGCTGCCTGGGAGGAAGTAGTGTGTAAACAGTTCCCTTCCAGGTTAGCGATTACTTGGTTAAAAAAAAAAAAAAAAGTTTGTACTATGCTGGGTTTGTACTATTTGTAGATTCACATTAAAGCGTATGAATGTAAAATTACATTCAAACTTAATAATTGCTTTGACCCAATTTTGCTTACATCTTATGTAGTAATTTATACTGTACTTGCTTTGAGCTACGACGATTTACACTGTACCGCTTTAGACTGTGCTGAATAAGACCGTAGTGTTTTTTTTTAGTTACAAAAGTAAACCCCTCCTCCTGTCCCAATTTTTAAACTTTACAAAAATTTTCATCCAATGGATCCAACAGCTCATACATTTTTCTTAAGCAAAATACAACACGAATAGAGAAAAAACCAAATAAAGGTAAAAATACAATATTTGTGCAAGGTCATGAAGTGGACTGTTTTGTATTTGAAGTCAAGATATCAATCGAATAACTTATATTAATTTCAATGGGTAATCTAAGCCTTGAGGTATATTAAAGTATATTAAATAAACGCGTGCTTACCTTCGATTTCTTTAGGTGGATCGATGGCTGTAACCAGAATATCAAATATCAAATTAAATCAAACTATAGAATTATTACAAATCAGTTTTTTTATTTTAAAAAAATAGCCACTTTAAAACCGATTAAATATTGTAAAGTATATCTAAAGCTATGTTTGAAACATTTATTTCAATTTAGATTTATGACTTTGAAGCAAAATCAAATATTTATCGTTATTATTTAGAAATAAGTATCTAACAATCAATTTTAAAAACTGTTGCTATACAAAATATATTAAATATTGTAATTACATGTTATTGTTTGTATTTCTTTTTGCATATACGTCTGATTGTAACTCGCTTTCTAAAAAAAAAAAATTAATTAAATGTTGATGTACATAGTTTCTAGCGATAAAAATCAAAACAACAATATGATAAGTCTGATGTCTTACATCAGATGGATCACCCTATTAGACATTAGACTCTGTGTAAAAAATTATATTAATTTTAGTACAGTTATAATAAACCCTTAAGCTCCAGGTAGCCCCAGGGAGGCTTACCCTGTGGCAGCGCAGGTCTTTAATGGAACGTTAAGCTATTAAAGAAAAATAAATATATAAAGGTGATTACGCTCTAATGTAAGATCATCAGCAATTTCTGAAATTAAACCAAAACATTTAGTCATTAGGTATAAAACCACTATGTGGAAGTAGTTACATAAAATTATTACCAGGTGGAGCCAACATGAGAGCCATTCCCTCTGAAATTAACGTGACACAAATGTATTATTTAATGCGAATGGATTATATTTGTATTCTATTATAAATTAAAAAATGGGAGTCAATGTAGATTGTAAAATAAAATATAATGATAAGATAAGATTAAAAGAGTTAACATAACATCAACGTTATTTGACAGAAATATTCTATTTAACTTTAGAATAAAATAAAAAATTTACATACTTCATAGTTTTTTATTGAGAAAAATCGTTGAAGTTGTTATATATCTTTAAAAAATTTGTTTCTACTTGCATACTTTATTATATTTTATAATTTTATTATACACAACAAAAATCACACCCAAATTGTATTTTGTATGACTAAGTATACTAGACAAATGTTGGAAATTTTTTTAAAATAAAAATAAAATATTAATAACTAAAAATTGTTTACATTTTTATCTTATAATTACAACTTTCTTATACTCGTAATTGAATTAATTTCAAATTCGTATGGCGTATTTTTTATTTTTTTACAGCGTGCTGTAGATATACAGTGAAAGATCCTTATTATTTTCCCTCAAAAGTGGTGGATATAATTTATTTTTTGTTTTCTTAGTCCTAATTTTTAGAACTAACGTCTCAAAACTAGCCAAAAGGACTAACTAGCGTGACTATGATAAACACATTTTGTTTAAACCTTTTTTTAAATCTGTTCTTTACTGAGGAAAACCAAAAATAGTATAAAATGATAAAATAACCTAATGTTATTTACTCAACAAAGTAATTCACGGTCTGGAACCGAACAAAGCAGTAAGATTAAATTGATAAAATTTTATAAATTTTATGACGGAGATCAGCTTGTTCAACTATTTAAAAGTTTTTACTTGTAACCTTTCGATGGGTTTGTATTTCAACTAAAACAGTAAAATTTAATTATAATTTGAATGGTGACTCGCCCAGAATTATGTTATTAATTTGTTTGCATAGCTGACTTACATTTTCAATAAAATCACAGTATGTTAATTTGACAATTTATTACTAAGCCCTAGCCTGTAAAACGCTCGTATAACTATAATAGGTTTAACTATATATCGTTCTATTAGTTATTCTATCGATAAATAATCGCACTTGTTTAATATTACATAGTTAATCATAGTTTTTCTTACTAGTAGCATTAAAAAGCAATTTTGAACTAGTTTCGCTAAGTATTTAATTGCTGTGCACAGACCAAAAATAAAAACAAAAAATGGGCTTTTCCATCAAAGATAAAAAAGTTAGGAAAAAACACAGCTCTGATATTTTAGTAATAAAACATTTTGTTCATACATCAATTGCACATTTGCAGTAGGTGCAGACTCACATGAATTGAGTACGCCCAATAGTTATTTCACCACAAATAGTAATCGAGTAGTCTGTTATTTCTAGTTTCGGTAATCGTTTTGTAAATTTATATTATAAAACATTTAGTAACTTTTTTTATTTTATTACACAGCGTAGATTATCTAGTTTCTTTGTTTCTACTTTCTTTATACATTATTGATACACAGATGCAATGGTAAAAACAATTTTATTTAGTTTGTTTAAACAGCAACTGAAATTCACGAGGCGATCCGTTGTAGTATACACATTTTTTAGTAGTTTTTCCTGGCTTTAATTTGTGATGTATGTCTCAAAATTTCGGCTGATGATAACCTTTAAGCTTATTTAACCTTCATCGGTAATTTTTAATACCAAACATTTTTTTACTAATTTTATACTTTTTGGTATTAAATACTTAACAAAGCAGGTTTATTGCTTTTATTATAAAATAAATATTCACATTATTCTGATGCAGAGTATAGACTTATTTTCAGTTGTCTGTAGGTATTATTAAAACACGTTTAACACTATTAATTATATTATTATTATAATGTTGTGTACTCGTATGCAGTTCTTCGATTAAAAACCGTATCTATTTTATATCATGTAAGCTATCGCCTAATGTGTTTTTCCTGAAATAATATTTAAAAAATTTGCTTTTGTCCAACTACTCCATGAGTTTCTTAAAAACCTAAAAATGGTATACTTCAGATTTTAAAGATTCTAATATTTCAAAGATACCCAATGTGCTTTTATTGTATAAACTTTTTTAGGACTATATCCTTAATTGTTAGGGATAATAAGTAATTTTGTAGTAGGAGGAACAAGTATATATTTATTAGTTTAGTCTATATTCGGTTGGACTGTTATAGAATCTCACTACCCACCGATTCGCATCGAAAAGCTTTTTCTGAAGAAATCACTTTCAGCTTTAATAATTGTCTCAACCCCACTTTACTATTTTCTGTTCTGGTTTGAACCGTTTGCTGATGACCTCCATTTAAATGTTACGATTTTAAAGTGTAAAATTTTTTTTGAAATAGCAATAAATAATTTATATTGTATTCTTCTTAGAATTGTAAGTAAGCATTGTTATTGTTAAAAGGAGAAAAAATTGTTTTTTTAATAAGCATAATATTCATGTAAGCATAATCTATATTAACCAATCAAAATTGTTTAAAATAATTTGCTTATTAATTGACGTCATTAGTAATATTGTCATTGAACAATATTGTATCTAGAACGTTATTTGGTCTTTTATAAAAAGGTATCGGAGGGTGTTACTTAGTTACTCACTTGTCACACTATTTTCATGCAAGCTCACATTATATAACAACTTCAGTTAATAAAGCTCTATCTGTGTACTGTATTTCTATAAGTCTTTAATTATCACATTAAAAAATTAGTTCGGTTGTTGGGTTTTTAAAAACAAATTATTTTTTATGACAAAGTTTGCCTTTTCACTAAATTAAAAACTGTGTGCTTTAAAATACACAACCAGCGTTTATGGCATACATTTTGTCCATTTAATCGCTTAATTTTATAGCTGCTTAATATAAAGAGTTTACTGCGGTTTGAGACATCTGTTTTTTTTGTCCAGTCCAGTATTATATGACATGTTTACCCTACTGCAGAATAAGTAGCAAATAAAATATATAATAGGTTATTAATAAGAATAAAAAGAATTACAATGCGCTATGGTTTTTTTTTCAATAATTAAAACTTATATTCAGTATATATCCCAAAACCAAAAACAAACAAAAACCCCAACAATGTTATTTTTATATATTAGACAATACAAAGCGATATTTTCAAATATTACAAAAACAAATATAAATAAACGTAATGCTACAAACGTTATTATTTTTTTGATTATTGAACATGCACAGTATTAAATATTTAATCTTCAAGGAAGGGGTTTTCCGGCCTGTTATTCGATGTCTATCTCAAAGGCAATGATGATTTTCAAGAATTCCGCAAGGTTTATTTCATCTGAAAATTGAAATTTAAGGTTTTTTAGTGATGTCAAATAATCATCGTTAACTCGGTAATCTGTAATTGATGAGATTACCATTTAATGCTGCAACGATATTTTCCGGAATTTCGACAGCGAGTTTCTTTTCCTTGATCCTTGATGTTAACATTTTTACTAAAGCTGAACACTCCTCCTTGGAAATGACACCGTTCCCGTCCACGTCAAACGACTGGAATAAGTCTATGTAAAAAACGACCCCGCCTGCATCGATCACTTTGCCTTCCTAAAGAATTGTCAAAGTAAAATTACATATTCACCATGTCGAATGATTAATAACTAGGTGAAGTTATGTATAAAAGCTTAGAAATTAATTGAAAAAAAACCATAAATTTTGCTGGTAATTTTTTTACAACTTTGATATTTGTTAATAGTTAAAAGTTAAAAGAGTTTAGACCTAATACCTTAGATTCGCCGGCTTTTGTGGTGTCATCTGTGGCTAACGTCAACAAATAATTCTTTAATGCTGCGTAATCTGGATATTCTGTATAATTTGATTAATTTTTGCAATTAGTTTACTGTCGATAATTTTTTTTTTTTAATAAAACAGCGTAATGGTATTCAACAAAGCTAGGCAAGTTAAACATTTTGCAGTCTACATTATGTGAGTAGTAAGTACTTTTATTTTTCCTGAATTCATATAATTAGCCAAGTTTTACCCGTTGTTATTATTTTTTGACCATTTTGTAATTTACTGGGCTTACTTATTCCCTCCTTACATTTATTCAACATAGGTTAAGTCAGTAGACACACGGGAAACACTGCGAATCGTCATTATAATAATTCCAAAATGCTCTGCCGTTATGCAGATTTTTTTCGGGGATTTTTCGTTACCTTTGTACATATTAATAGCTGTTTCTATTTGCGCCTTGCTGAGCCCGTTGCTCTAAAATGAAGTATAACTTATCAGTTTATATAATAATAGGTCTGCAGTTTTACAATTAATTTATGTGCATCTCCGTCAAACCACCGTGAAATAACCAACGTACATGTATTTGTTTTTGAAATTATTATAATATGAAATAAATTAGTAACTAAACGATATTCTTACCCATGCTGATGTTATGAAATACAGCGCACAGAGAATAACAGCGATCTTGAAATGCATAGTTGGGGGTTTTCAAAATAGTTAAAATTCAGTTAGGTGTAATGAACAACGACCGTTGGAACCTAAGTCAAATGGCGAATAAACGGCAAAAAAAAGTTCGAACTAAGTTTCAACAACGTTTAACCTAAATTTTATTTTACACTGTCACAGGTGCAAAAGCAAAAAAACAAAATTTGATGAACGTGGATGTAATTGATTGAACCGTGATACGTTCGACGCCAAGGCGAGAAATGTAGGTATATTCCTAGACTATAACAATTATTGTAAAAAACAGTAACCACTTCCCCTTGAAAATCGTGAAAAACTTAAAACTTGGGCACGCTTAAACGTTCAACACGGCTACAATATTATATTTACATGATTCTGTGAGACACACTTTACATTATTTATTTTCGGTTTATAGTATTAACCTAGATTTTAAAACTAAAGTTTGCATTAGAATTGTTTACCATTTATAATAGTACTGCTACACGTTTTTATACTTAAGCATAATAAATCAAGACTGTGTCTTTGAGGCGTTTAAACTTTTAACATAATAATAATTCTCAACCGCATGACACCCGTGAAATAATAAGAAACTGCCACATTTTGTCTTGTAGCAATATATTAATAATCTAAAAAGAAAAACAAAATCGCCTCATTTCTCATTACGGCTTATAAAATATTTTAAGTGGTAAACTGGCACAACAATCAAATTTGCCAGTTTGGTTTGTTAAAACCTTTTGCTAAATAGCCGTAACCTCAAATTGTGGTGTCTGGCCGAGATATAACTAATAAGTAGCTTGAAAATAAAATAACAAGCACCGGGTAACAAAAATAATTGAAAAGTATTGAAATTAAAGCTTAAAAAGTTAAAATTAACCATTTGGGAGCAGGTTCAATCTTTAAGTTGTATTTGCTCAAAACTTTATTTTTTCAGTTGTGACAGTCTTGCTCCAAGGGTGCGACATGATTGGTACTAATTGTATGCAATAATAATTGTAGGCTAATTTTAAGTACATTAATGTCTTTACAGTGCTTTTATCAATACCTATTTATATTTTTTATACATATAAAATGTATCTCGTATACAATGATACAATTTTCTCATTCCTGTAAATTCTACCCAAAGGTATTCAACACATTTGTGTCTATATCGAATATGTTTAACTTATAAAACTCCAAGGCCTTCTATATATTAACGCATTTAATATTAGTACAAAAAATCTGAGTACATCTACTATAAAGCAGCTTTTTTATGTGTATTATTATGACTGGTATTTTTTTTCATACCGATACAAACTTAAGGTAAATAAAACGCAAAAATAAAATATTACTAACCGTGTGTTGTTTGCGCATTAATAACATACAACGAAAATTCAGAGCATAAAATAAAACCTTACATATTATGGTTTGGAAACCCAAATTTGGGCCTCAAAGAGCAATCCAGTGATCACAGATAAAAAAACAAATATCACCATACAATTTCGGCACTTGCGCACACATGAGAATGTATTAAGTCATTTTTTTTTTTTGCCATCCTTTGATGTTTATACATTTTAAGCAGAAAAATACATCGATCGAACGACAAAAACAATATTATATAAAATTGTTGATGTTCGAATTACAAATTTTTTTTTGTGCAAATTTTAGTGTTACTTTTTACGTCGAAAATTCGAAGGTCATAGATAATAGTCAAAACTTGAAAATGTTATCTAATCGGATATACTATTTACATACGATTTGCACACATAAATATTTTATTCGTATTATACAACTACTGCCTTTAATAGTCCGTAAAACTAATAGTAGCCTAACCTTAAGTATGGCTATCGACGGATTTTCTCAAAGGAAAAATCCATTACAATTTGGGTTGGGATTCGAGTTGCACCAAGCCGAATGAATGCGATAAAATCACTTTTTTAAAAATTAATTAAAACCTTAAACTGGTACTTGTGCACTTGAACATTACTGAGGCCACTCTAAGGAGTATCCATCAAATATTTGATAAATTTTTTTTTTTTTAGATTTAACATGTTATGTGTACATAAGAGTTCTAGCTCCGGACAAAATTTCAACTAAAAAGTCCTAAAAACCCCAAAAAACCACTTGCATCCCACCGCGAGGGGTCTAACTTAAATTAGAATCTCAAGTAAATGTTCTTTTTTAGAAATTTCAAATCGATTCGACCATTTTTCTCAAAATTATAGCCAGTAAAAGTTGAAACTATAAAACTAGTATGGTTTTTTTTTTAAATTTTAACTATGAAGTAGTGAACTTTTTCAATTTTTACTCCCTTAAAATTGCCAACTAGATTGTATATTAGCGATTTATAGAGTTGCTACTCGAAGGAATTGGTCCAGTTAAAAAAAGTTACAATGCATATACAGACACAAAGAAAAAACCTACATCAAAAAAATGAAACCATAAATAGAGCTTTGATCGCATTATATTAAATGGTTCCAAATTAAATGTTTCTAAGACAGGTTCTAAGAGGAATTCCTTAATATTTCTATAACAAAATTAATATTTAATTTATGACTTTGATAAAACGGTGTTCATAGAGAGGAGCAGTAAAACCTCGGTTAATAGTACCTGGGAATCGTGTAAGGAGGATATAACTTTAAATATTTTTATATTGTCGGCGAATAAGAGTTTTCTTTAATAATGAAATTCAAAATAGTTTATACATATTAAAAACAGGGATTCAATTTTGCTTATTTCAACATACGTATAGCTCATTACGCTAATGTAATTTTACTATACATTATGAGTACATCACCGTGTATTGCTGTGTACATTAAGGTACCGTACTATATATTAACCTACGTTGTAGTATGCTACCGCTTGTAATTTTAGCTTCGATGCAAAGCGAGAAGGTATTGGTTTTACTCTGATGTGTGTTTTTTTTTTATCTGCATACACTGTAACTTCTTTAATACTGGACCAATTCCTTCGAATAGCAACTCTATAAATCGCAATTTTCATCTAGTTGGTACTTAGGGGGGGTAAAAGTTAAAAAAGTTTAACTCTTCACAGGCGAAAGTTGAAAAAACAAAAAAAAAAACCGTACGAGTTTTTAAGTTAGAACTTTTACTAGCTATAGCTTCGAGAAAAAGAGTCGGATCGAGTTGAAATTTATAAGAAATATTTATTTAGTATGCCCGCGCACGTCAGTTGTATCAAATTTAAATTTAACCCAATGCCTACCCCCCTAGGGGGGGTACAGGTTTTTTTTGTTTTTCGGGGTTTTTAGCCGTAATTTTAAGACCTTTGGGTTGAAAATTTGCCAGTAGTTGGAACTCATATGTATCCATAACATATTAAACGGAAAAATAATTCAGCAATACAGTTTTTTTTTTAATAGCCGGAAAACTGTGTTTTCGCAGATTGCGTATATTTTAACAAAATACACTTAAAATCTTAAAAAAAAAACCAGTACAGTGGGGTCGGGGCATAGTGGGGACGGGGAGGTCACAGGTTTATAGGAATTTTTAAATCTGAAAGTGATAAAATCACTTTCGAAAAAACGCTTCGATGCAAATCGGTAGTTAGTATTTTCAAGGCAGTACAATCTAAACCAAGCACAGTGTAAGCTAGCAAAGTTAGAAAGTATTAAATTGAATCGGCCATTTCAAAAACGACTTAGGTCACCGATTTTTCAAAACTGTCTTTTTATCAAATGTAATAATTATATACTTAGCTACGTATTCTGTGTGAAAACTCAATTTGTCAAACTCATATTTAATACAAATGTTGAGTACAAGAAATTTGAATCACTGCAAAATATATTTATGAAGTTTCTTGTGACTAGTGTAATATTTCAAATTTGTGACTTGTGTCGTTTTTTAAATGACCGATAAAATTACAAAATAGAAGCATCAAAGCGTTTATTTGAAAGCGATTTTATTCAATTTTGTCACTTTTATTTATAATAATTCTTGTAGACCGGTGACCTCTCCGTTTCCTCATTGCTTTGATTACATTATGCCAATACTCTACTGTATTAGTCCTCTCGGATAAAATCACTTTCAAATATTTATGCACTAATATTTGTCAATTGTAGAAAAAAACTGTTTACAAAAATATATTTTGTCTAGAACACGAAATAATAATAATTATAAATTATAATATATTGTTCAAACATTTATTAATTGTAAAACAAACATAAAAATCACTATGTTTATAAATAGTAGACATAATAATTAAATTTTGTCCCATAAATACTGGGAACACGTAGTATGATTATACAGTCGATTTAAACAGTATACTATAACAGTCGAATATTAAACCTATATGATATAACACTAGTAACATGATAAATATTAAGATTATTCTTTTGCTTAGTCTAACAGCGTATGTGTGGTAAGTTTTTTTTAAAATTATTTCTGGTTTCAAATTTGAACAAAAAACGAAATAAAGTCTATAGTTTTTGTGCACATTTATACATAAAAATACATTGAACATTTAATTTTCAGGTGTTCTGGCAATAATGAATCTAACAGAAATGGTAATTAAATAACAAACGAGTTGGTTAAAAAAGAACTTTTAAAATTAATTTAATTTCATTATTTTGAAAAATTCTCAACGAATTTGTTATTAGAAATAGACTCGAGCTTTGTTTCGCAAATGTTTAATTAAAACATTAGACGTAAATACGGTTTTATTTTCAGATGAATTTTTAATTTTTTTATCTTCGATGCCAAAAAAAAAACCGTTAGCCTAGAAGATATTAGTTTTATAGTGATGTTTTTTTAAAGCATTGAAGTCACAAAATTTTTTTTCTGTCGAGTAGCTAGTCGAAGCGTTTATTAGAAAGTGCTTATACCACTTTCAGTTGTAATATTCCAAAAAGCAATCAACAAAGTAAAAACCACAACAAAATTAAATTAAAACTAATCATTCTAAAACCAATACATTCTCAGTTGTGTATCAATGCTAAAAATATTTTAAATCAACTATTATTATTATTAGTGTATATAATAATTATTGAGGGATGTTATTTGTTAACATAACTTTCCAAATAATTTAATTTATATTTTAGACAACATTAATAGAAAAGGAAAAGGAAAACGCAATAATATAAGCGGCCTACGAAGCGATTTTCTTTCAGGATTTATGGACAACTTTATGGGTGATGATGAAGATTTTTTTAGGCCTACGCATCACGGTAAAGGAAAATCACAAGCTGAGCAAACATCAGAACAAAATGCAAGTGGATCGCACCCAAGTCGGGCCTACGGCAATAGTCAAGCATATGCAGGTGGTGGTTCCAGCTATAATAGTAAGTTGACGTATGTACCATATCAGTGCCAAAAATTAAAATTATATAATTATTTTATTTGTTAGGTAATTCGCAAGAACCTCAGCCAGGAGTAGAATGGAATAATATGTTTGATGACTTTCCAAGATGGATGAAAGGCAAGTCATTTACAGTAACAGCATGGCGCTAGTTTCAAACTGTGAAAGCTAGAAAACAAATCGGACTAAATTAATATTTTTTCAGATAAAATACCGCCAACTGTTCCAACGGGAATGCCAATGGACTACAATAGGGGTAACGTTCAAATTTTGATGATTATCGTCAAGCTATAATAGTGTCGGCGCTAATTGTAATCTGTGAAAACAAAAAACCTAAATTAGAATAATGTTGCAAATTTCCAGATAGCCAATCACGAACATATGACTACGGTAATAGATATGCAAACCGTGGTATGCCACCAAGAACCGATAACGTTAGCGAAAATATTAGACGTCCGGGAGGTAGTCGAGAAGGAAGTTCATCTGTTAACATTCAGTCAGCTGATGTTCGTGGTGGTGGGGAAACACGAGGTAATTAAATAGAAAATAGTATTATTTGATTATTAATAATAATAAAAAACATTGACCAGTAAGAAGTGTCATGCAATATTTTTATTGGGCTATAATAGTTTTTGGCCGTTGTTAATCATATATCGTTATATTTTACTATGGTAGAAGGGTTTCAATTTTTTTAATTTGACAGTGTACACCGACAGTACTGTAAAGAATATATTTTCATACAAATTTTGAACTAATTCGAATGTTTTCAAATGCTTTTTGTTGGATAAGGATACCGGGGTCCTAACGTAGACATGACCGGTGACAACTTTACTATTGACGGCAAAAATGTTACCGGCTCGTCCGTACAATTTACTAATGCTGGAGTCTATGTCGACGGTAAATTAGATCCAAAATATGGAAAAGGAGCTCAATGAGGACCAGGAAGATGATATAAAAGATTAAGATAAGTTAGCGGTGAAAAAGAAGACCAAAATTTAAAAAGATAATATAAGAAATGTCGTTTTTCCATTAATAAAATATTTGTTATGACCATTTAAAAAATAAAGTAACGCCTCTATCTGTGTATATTTTTTTTTCTAACGCCCTTAATCGGTTATTAGACGATTCGCTTACCCATTATTATAAAACATGGTTTGCAAGGGATTCCAATTACCCCAAATTAAACATATCAGATGACTTTAGACGAAGCCAGTGTTATAATATAGTGAACACACCCCACACATGTCCTAGAATACCCAAAAAGCCAAAATAGTATAAACACAAAACCATGATTAACTTTTACCATTGTAAGCAAGCTTGAGTAATTATAGATCTCTAACGAGTTTAAATTGTTAGTGGTGTCATTCGCACAAAGAAAAGTGAATGGTGAAAAAAAGATAGAACATTAAAAAATATCAGACATCAAAAAATTGTTTTATTAATATACAATTAGAGCTTAAACTCTAGCTATTATACAGTACTATACCTGTAGTATAACTATATTACTTAATACAGTTATAACTTTAGTTATTGGTTATACTTTTTTTTAGTCAGTCTATTACAATCATTTTTATAGAAAAATATAACAATGTAGAATAAAAACTAAAATGTCTTGGACTTGCTGTAACCAAATTTAGCTATGTTTAAACTTTTTTTTTTATTGTTGATAACTCAATACACACACTTTTAACAGTTCATTGAAAAATACTATAAAAACATTAACTTGAAAAATTCATAGAAAAAAAACTATTAAAAAATTGTTAAGCTCAAGCATAGATAGTATTCTAGTCAACGTTGATATTTTTTAGTAATTTAGAAGTTGGTGAATTTATTCCATCACAGCCTTTATAATATTTAAAAAAAAAATATATCCAGAAAATTCTGAAAAATACATAATATTATATTAAATATGAAACTGCTTTTAGTTGTCAACGGAGTTCTAAATCCAAAATAATTGTAAAAAGTCAAACTACTTACGTGATAAATATTTTTTTCAGAAAAAAAGAGTGTCTCATTTAAATTTTTCGCCCTGTGTATTTACAATAAATATCGCACTGGCTTAGTTACAACAGAATTTAGTTTTTGTCTTTAGGCAAAGTGGGATAAATGTAAGCATTTCTTTAAAAGCAAATGTCATATTTTTTTTTTTTTTTTAATTAATTTTATTGGGATTTTGCGTACATAATTTATCTCTACAATTATGTGAAATGTCATATTTGTTAAATTACAATATTTAATATAGAAAAACTCATAAATAGATTAACGTAGTTTTCTTAGCTTAAATATTTGTATATAAGTTTCGAAACTTTTTTAAATGAATGTTAATAACTTTTTGTCGACATAGCATAATGTTCACCGCTTATCTCGGTTTTCACATATATTTTTTAATAAAAAAAAAATTCAATATAGTGTTTTTTAGATGTATTGGCCAGATAGTTATGGCTACTCTGTACTCCGCACTAATAATTGTCAATTTCCATGAACAATAATATAAAAAACACTGTTCACAAACTAATATATATTGTCTAAAACACGAAATAATAAAAATTCTAATATATTTTTCAAGCAAACAAACTTGAAATGACTTATGTTAATAAATTGTATGTATAATAAAATTAAATAGCACAAAAGTCGGTTAAAACATTTTTTTTAAATAAAATTAATTTTAATATGTTACAAAATACTCATCGAATTAGTTATTTAAAACAGACCTGATTTTTTTTGAAAAATATTTTCAAATAACGTGATATTTGATTATGCAGTCAATTAATAATGTATTTATTTTTCTGTTCTGGTGTGAATCGTTTGCTGATGACCTACATTTGCATGTTACGATTTTAAAGTACAACGTTTTTTTTTTAAATAGCAATAAAAATTGTATTCTTCTTAGAATTGTACGTAAGCATTATTATTGTTAAAAGGAGAAAAACTTGTTTTTTTAATAAGCATAATATTCATGTAAGCATAATCTATAAAAAGCAATCAAAATTGTTTAAAATAAATTACGTTTTAATTCACGTCATTAGTAATATTGATATTGAACGATATTGTATCTAGAACATTATTTGGTCTTATATAAAAAGGTATTGGGGGGTGTTATTTAGTTACTCACTTGTCACACTATTTTTATGTAAGCTCGCATTGTATAACAAGTTAAGTAATAAAGCTCTACCTGTGTACTGTATTTCTATAAGTCTTTAATTATTACTTTAAGAAATTAGTTCGGTTGTTGGGTTTTTAAAAACAAATTATTTTTTATGACAAAGTTTGCCTTTTCACTAAATTAAAAACTGTGTGCTTTAAAATACACAACCAGCGTTTATGGCATACATTTTGTCCATTTAATCGCTTAATGTTACAGCTGCTTAATATAAAGAGTTTACTGCGGTTTGAGACATCTGTTTTTTTTGTCCAGTCCAGTATTATTAGACATGTTTACCCTACTGCAGAATAAGTAGCAAATAAAATATATAATAGGTTATTAATAAGAATAAAAAGAATTACAATGCGCTATGGTTCTTTTTTCAATAATTAAAACTTATATTCAGTATATATCCCAAAAACAAACAAAAACCCCAACAATGTTATTTTTATATATTAGACAATACAAAGCGATATTTTCAAATATTACAAAAACAAATATAAATAAACGAAATGCTACAAACGTTATTATTTGTTTGATTATCGAACATGCACAGTATTAAATATTTAATCTTCAAGGAAGGGGTTTTCCGGCCTGTTATTCGATGTCTATCTCAAAGGGAATGATGATTTTCAAGAATTCCGCAAGGTTTATTTCATCTGAAAATTGAAATTTAAGTTTTTTAAGTGATTTCCAATAACCATCGTTAACTCGGTAATCTATAACTGATGAGATTACCATTTAATGTTGCAACGTTATTTTCCAACTTTTCGACAGCGAGTTTCTTTTCCTTGATGTTTTCCGACATATCTATAGTTTTAGTTAATATTTTTACTAAATTTGGACACTCCTCTCCGGAAATGACACCGTTCCCGTCAACGTCAAACGAATGGAATAATTCTATGTATAAAACGACCGTGTCTGCATCAATCACTTTGCCTTCCTAGAGAATTGTCAAAGTAAAATTACATATTCACCATGTCGAATGATTAAAAACTAGGTGAAGTTATGTATAAAAGCTTAGAAATTAATTGTAAAAAAAAAAAACCAGTACAGTGGAGTCGGAGCATAGTGGGGACGGAGTATAGTTGGGTCGGGGCAAAGTGAAGACGGGGAGGTCACAGGCTTACAGGAATTTTTAAATCTGAAAGTGTTAAAATCACTATCGAAAAAACGCTTGGATGCAAATCGGTAGTTAACATTTTTAAGCCAATACAGTCCAAACCAAGCACAGTATAAACCAGCAAAGTTAGAAAGTATTAAATTGAGATGCTGTATTTACAAATAAGCATCGAAGCGTTTATTTGAAAGTGATTTTATCCGAGAGGACTAGAATAGTAGAGTATAGGCATAGTGGAATCAAAGCAACGAGGGGACGGAGACGTCACAGGTCTACAGGAGTTAATATAAATAAAAGTGATAAAATTTAATAAAATAAATTTGATACAACTGACGTGTGCGGGCATACCAAATAGCTATTCCTTATAAATTTCAACTGGATCCGACTCTTTTTCTCGAAATTATAGCCAGTAAAAGTTCTAACTTAAAAACTCGTACGGTTTTTTTTTTGTTTTTTCAATTTTCGTCTGTGCAGAAGTAAACTTTTTCAACTTTTACCCCCCCCCCCCCCTAAAGTACCACCTAGATGAAATTTGCGATTTATAGAGATGCTACTCGAAAGACTTGGTCCAGTATTAAAAAAGTTACAGTGTATACAGATAAAAAAAACACACATCAGAGTAAAACCAACACCTTTGCCACTCTGCATCGAAGCTGAAATGAATGAGATAAAATTTTTTTAACTGTCCTGCCACGTTCCCAACGTAACGATAAAAAATGTTGCTAATCATTTTTTACAACTTTGATATTTGTTAATAGTTAAAAGTTAAACGAGTTTAGACCGCATACCTTAGATTCGCCGGCTATTGTGTTATCATCTGTGGCCAACGCTATCAAAAACTTCTCCAATACTGTAGATTCTGGATTTTCTATATAATTTGATTAAATTTTTGCAATTAGTTTACTGTCGTTAATTTTTTTTTTTTTAATAAAACAGCGTAATGTTATTCAACAAAGTTTGTCAAGCAAAAAGTTTTGCAGTCTACATTATGTGAGTAGTAAGTACTTTTATTTTTCCTGAATTCATATTATTAGCCAAGTTTTACCCGTTATTATTATTTTTTGACCATTTGTAATTTACTGGGCGTATTTATTCCCTCCTTACAATTATTCAACATAAGTTAAGTCAGTAGAAACACGAGCAAATCGTCATTATAATCAGCCACAGGGGCAAACGGATAGCTTCTAAGCCAATAATTGTATTTAATTTGTCTGATATAATAGTTCATCGCATTAATAATGTAAATTCAACTCAGTACCACAATCTTAGAAAATCAATTTAAATTTAATTTTACCTTACTCACATTTAGCATTCCTATTTGACTAGCTATCGTGTGTACTGCTAAACTTTAGTAATTTATGACATATATTTAACAAGATCAATGTTAGTATAAGTACTCTGTAGTTAAATTTGTTGTTATCAAATATATCAAGTTAAAAAGATATAGTACTGTTAATCAAGCAAGGCACTGTATTAGTGTTATAAACCTCAACCTACTGGTTCAATTAATAAAATATATTTTAATCATTATGTTACCTGGACCACATTCAAAAAGTTTGGGGTTTTTAATTCCAAAATGCTCTGCCATTTTGCAGATTTTTTTTAGGGATTTTTCGTTACCTTTGTACATTTTAGCAACTGTTTCTATTTGCGCCTTGCTGAGCCCATTGCTCTAAAATGAAGTATAACTTATTAGTTTATATAATAATACGTCTGCAGATTTACAATTAATTTATGTGCATCTCCGTCAAACCACCGTGAAATAACCAACGTACATGTATTTGTTTTTGAAATTATTATAATATGAAATAAATTAGTAAC